ACTAGAATAGATGTACATTGTTCAATGTTCCAAACTCACATTGGTTTCTCATACAGCATCTCTGTATAGTATGTGTATTCACTCTCTGTCCTACACGGCTTGTTGGAGCTCCTGCCCCCCCCTCCCTCCCTATGAGCCCACTGTGCTCTGATTGGTCAGCTCGCCCACTCTGTTCTGATGAGTCCACCACCGTTACAGCGGAACATCAGTGATTATGTGTTACAATGGCGTTAGCAACCAGAAAATGACACCAGTAATGACAAACAGATGAGAATGCTGCGTGGGGTCTGGGTGCCGTGTTGGCGGGACGTTGCGGGGCTCGCTGCTGCGCCCTTTGAGGCTCGAGGAGCGGACAGTGTGAGCTGGATTACTGGTGTCGTTTCCTGGTTGCTGCGTGGGGTCTGCGAGACTCAGCCTGAGCACACACACAGCCTAAGAAAAGATAAGGCTGAGTGAGAGAGTGTGTGAGTGTGTGAGTGTGTGAGTGTGTGAGTGTGTGAGTGTGTGAGTGTGTGAGTGTGTGAGTGTGTGTGAGGAGCTCCACGGATTGGTCCATTTGGTCGTCGTTACGTCAGTGACCAGGAAGAGAAAAATGGAAAATGAGAAATCTCCAACGAGGCGTTCTGGGGCAGCATAGACAGGTCTTTTCTGTGTTAGAGTTTTACTCGCTACAGGGTGTACTTTGAGGGTTTGTGACTCTGCAGACCGTTTACATGCAGAAAAAGCTTCATAACACACAAGGGGACGGGTAATAACCAGAAAAGCATGACAAGGGACCTTTAAATGCAATTAAAGAATAGCTACTGATTTGAAAGGTGTGAGATATTTAATTTTCATAAAACAGTATAAACGTAGTAAAGAATATGAGAATAACAGACAAACAACCAGAAATAAAGAGCACACAGTTCCTCTCAGCTACCACTCAGTGCTGACGAAGCTCCACAGCTGGTCGCTCACTTCGCACGGAGATAACGAACACGTGTCCAGGTTGATCGGAGTCGCCAGGTCGGGTCCGTAGTGAACTGCAAGAGGAGAAAATAAGAACGGTCACACAAAATAAAGCCAACAAAATGTCACCTCCATTCCCCCTCATTCACAATATCTCTTACGAAAATCCAATATTTAAAAATCTACACAAATATACTATGAACTTTGCTCTTTGACTTGATTGATATTTCTCCTTAGATGATATGAATCCTGATGGCGCACAGATATTATTTTGGATTACTAAACTGCAAAAAAGGAAAATATATGAACACTCACACAAAACAAAACCCTTAAAAATGTCACATTAAAATCCCTGCCTTTTCACAATATCTCTCACAGGAGTCAATATTCAAAATAGTATACACAAATGTACCATTAACTGTGTATAAATATACACCCTGATGGGGGGGGTGTCACATTATCAGGGATTCATTAGGACAAGAGGAAGCTGAACGTACCTCCTTTTAAGACGTTGGGGGGCGTGTCGTACTCCCACTTGATCCTTGTTATCACGTGGTACAACTGGGACACATATCTGGAGAGGGACATGAAATGAAAATATTTTATATAATTATTTTTTGTATAATCTTTTTGCTTTTACTCCTGAATTTCTAGCTAAACCCTTGTGTTGTGTTTGAAAGCTGTTCCCGTTCATGGTGTTCGCGGGTACATTTTGACGCATGATTTATCTCAGTCCAAAACACTCCAAAATAATGACTATCATCCAATATTGTTTTAACTACATCATAACTAACTTATTGTGCATTCATAACCGTACAATCCTGTTGTGATTTGATGTTATGGCCCCAAAAAACATTACAACACATATAAGTAAAACATGTGAATTCACTCATTATATTCCCTTTGGTGAAGACAGTGGATCGTTACGTTATCTGACTATAATAGACTTAAAATGATTGTTACAGTGGATGAGGGGGGGGGGGGGCTAAAGTGCAAATAATCGTTAGATAACAGGGTATATGCAGGAATCCTGAAGTCAAATGTAATACCTTTTAAGACCTTTTTTTAAGACCCTTTCCATACATTTTAAGACCTCATCGCAACTTCGAGTTCTAACCGGTTAGACATTGGCGACACACTTTACCTCACATTGACTATATACAGTATTGATTGTAAGATAGCACAACTAAACAGTTTGTGATAACTCCTTATCATAATTCAGAGAGCACAAGAGAATGAATTGTATGACTAACCCAATGCATTGATTTAATAATAATAATAATAATAATAATAATAATAATGCATCACATTTTGTATTAGAGCGCTTTTGCAGGTGCTCAAAGCGCTTTACAATTACACATTACACATATTAGACATGTAAGAGTCATTACTGTGGACATTACTCACAGGAGCAAATTCGGGTGAAGTGTCTTGCCCAAGGACGCAACGGCGGCCGAGGCGGGTTTCGAACTGGAGTTCACCAATGCCCCTTGATCTGATGATCTAACCCACTGCGCCAAAATCGCCCCGATTAAATATATAGGCAATGTTCCCAAGAGAACAAGAGATTGGACATCGGGAGAGTCGGGACTTAAACGCGGCGGCTTTGTGACTAGCACTTAGCATGTGGGACCGGACAGCTTTGATCCCCATCGACAGTGGCAAATCTGTGAGGGCCCCTCGAACCAGCTTTCATCACCATCAGTGGCACCCCAACACACTCTTTCTCCCCCCCCCCAAGAGCGGAGCAAGGCAACGAAACTTAAAATAAGAAGCAGCATTTTACGGCGTGCTATGCATTGGCCTCCTTGAGGGGGTTTCCCGACATGTCGTTGCAGTACATTAAAGGGTGTTTCATGTTGTCGTTGCTGTGGACCTTCTTAATACCTTGGAAAATGTAATACGTTTTAATAGCCTTAATTTTCGCTAAATTGATTTATCAACTTATAATACCTTTTAAGACCCCGCGGACACCCTGGATAAATATAAATTATAATTAGAAATCTCTAATGGAAAAATATTGCTCTTACTGCAATTCATATATTGCACTATACTAGTCGCTATTGCAAATTCAATAAAAATATACACAAGACACTTTACAGCTGAATCTGTGGGACTCACACAGCTGAAGGGATGACCTCGGTGGTGTCTTCGTCCACTTCACTGCGGAGAACCTCCAGCTCGTCTTCATCGATTCTCAGACTCTCCAACTCCCTCTGCAGAAATCTGGAGGAAAGTTAAGGACTCGAACAAAGACAGGATTACAAATGACACGGATTTTGGCTCCTTTGGTTGTATCCTCCATATCAGAGTCAAGTTTATTGCCAGGTACGTTTACACATACAATGAATTTGCTTTAGTATCTGGTGGTGAGCACATAAACAATCTAAACAAATAAGTTGTCATGGCTCACAATATTAAAACATTTTTAAAAAGAACAACAAGGAACAAGATGTTGTGTTGGGAAAATACTGAATGTTCTCTTCCAATATCAGAGTCCACATGATAACAAAGGTATCCCAACTGTAGCTGTGTACATGACAGGATGTCTGATTACCTAGAAGAGCATCAGGACTGTTTGAGGCATATGATAGCTATGTGATTAACATGATGATTCAGCCTCTATGGAGATAGACATATGACAAGCATGATCATTTCTGACGTGGAGCTAATCTGAAGTAAACATTGAATACTGCTTTCTATTCCTCCATCTTGTGACTGTGTAACTCCCTCTCTTGGATATCAGCATGTGAAGGACACTGTTCAGGAACTAGTTGATGCTCTGTATGTGATGACTACTTCCATTCTGGAGAGGATCACAAATAGAGAGGCGAAGTCCCTCCCCTTCCGGTGGACCTCCATGGGACCTTATTTCGAAAAAGTATGTATTGAAGTCAATGGAGAGAAAGATTATCTTTCGATCCCGTTTGAATTGAGCCACGAATTACACATATGATGTTTGTCAATTTAAAAGATAATTTTGCAAGTCAAAAAAATCAAAATGTGTCGTAAAACTGTGAAGTAACACTTTTTTTTGTGTGAAACCGCTCAATGAACTACATCTCCCGTCTCGCACCACACACCAAGACGGCCGTCACGTTGGCACATTTCACTTCTTTCTTTCAGAATGAGGCGGAAAGTATTAAAAGAGGTGAAAATCACTCCAAGTCTGGGCATGTTGAGAGCTGTACATACACACAAGGGGAGTTAGTCGGTTCCTAAGAGCCAGCATGCGGGACCGGGATTCTGGGATTTGTAGTCTTTCTAGTTGCGTATTTTTCATAGTCTTATATTTCAACAGTTTTACGACAAACTCTGACTTTTTTTGACATGGAAATTATTATTTAAGATTGCAAACATCATATGTGTAATTCGTGGCACAATTCAAACGGGATCGAAAGACACGTTTTCTCTCCCCATTGACTTCAATACATAATTTTTCCGAAATAAGGTCCCATGGGGCGGAAGTACAAGGGCGGGACTTCGCCTCTCTATCCATGGATCCTGAGATTGAAGCTCAAGCCGGTGACCAGTGATTATTAAACATTTTAAGTATTCAGAAAAATACAGAATTGAGAAAAAAAGTTAGAATTTAGAGAATTTTAGGGGGAAAAATACAGGATTTTGAGAAAAAAGACTGAATTTTTTGATTTTGAGAAAAAAAGTCTGAATTTTTAGATTTTGAGAAAAAGTCTGAATTTTGAGAAAATGCTCTGTATGTGATGACTACTTCCATTCTGGAGAGGATCACAAATACATGGATCCTGAGATTGAAGCTCAAGCCGGTGACCAGTGATATCTTTCATGTTGTTTATGAAAGGATACTGCAGCTCAGAGTCGGTCATCTGGCTCTTGGCGCTGCTCTTCCTCAGCTGATCCTCCAGAATCTGAAGCTCCTCCTCCATCAGGTTCTTCTCCTCCTCCATGTCCATCAGCCTCTGACCTACAGCCTCCTCCACCTGAGACATATCTGGGAGGGGGGACGGCAACAAAGACAACCTTTAGGATGAAGATCAGAGGGACTGGTTCATTTGGAGTATTGCTCTGTATATATTTTTGCACATTCCTGCTTAATGTAACCTCTTAAAAGCTCACATGTATAGTGAAATATGGCCCACAAATTAAACTTGTGCTTGTCTTATATTGTACTTATATTATATTACACACTATTCATGTGTTAATAAGCACAGATTTTAAAGTTGAAAACATTTTCTGACAAATGTAAGTTGATATGAAAAAAGCAAAATAATTTATTTACATATCAAGCTTGAAATAAACCCTTCATATTTCACTTATGATCAGCAATCTGAAGCTTCTGTTTTAAGGAATGAGCTGCCAACACAATAAATGAAACCCTCTGGAGAGCTGGGATGTAGGCTTTTTTTTTTCTCTAACAGCATTTTCAAGTATTAAGAATAATTGACCCACATTTGATTGAGTTTGCTGACTCATAACTGAACTTATGAGGCAGTATACCTCTAGTGAGTGGCCCAGCCCTTCGTATATTTGTCTGTATGTGGCCCTCAGTGAAAAGTTTTGGACACCCCTGTTGTATATTATATTACATGACATGTTACTTGTTAGACGCTTTTATCCAAAGCGACTAACATACTCAATACTGTGGAAATTCCCCACAGGAGCAATTTGGGGTAAAGTGTCTCAGGGACACAACGACATGCTGACTGCAGTGGGACTCGAACTTGCTATCCCCTGATTTGAAGTCCATCACACTACCCACTGAGCCACAGCCTTCTTGCACTATTTCTATCCCATTTTATTTGTATTACTAGCACTATTTTAACTATTGTATCTGTTTTATTGTGTTGCTCTGTTGGAGGAGCCTGTGACCTAAGGTTTTCATTGATATATCTACACTGTAGCTATGTACACAAACTTCTGTGTAGCAATGCAGGAGGAGTCACCAACTCAAAGGAGACACGGGGAGAGCTGGAGCTTTGATGTCAAACACTGATGGGTTTATTTGGAGCTTCGACCGGAGAATTCACAAAAACAAGTCAAAGAGTCAGAGGTTCTGACTTCACGGTAGAGTTGCCACGTCAATTCTGAAGATCTCTACCCCAGACCCGTGTGTTTAGCTAGTTCTGAGAGAATAATCCACATTGTGCATAACAAGATAGAACCATAACACCTCTATCAGCTGACGCCAACAGGCAGGAACAGGGAGACAAAACACTGAGAGCACAGCAGCCAAGGCTACAGGTGTGCTCAGTCAGGACAGTTTGAACTGATGGGTCAAAGTTATGGGCCTTGGAAAATATTTCCCCAACACACATGACAATAAAAGCCTTGAATCTTGAAACTAACTCGTGGTGACATGCCTTTTAGAATCGGCGTCACCAGCCTCTTGTTGAGTTTGTCGAACAGAGCCTGGTGTTCCTCGTTCACTTGGATCAGCTTCTCGGGCTGGCTGCTCTTGATGAACGACACCAGAACGTCCCCCGTCTCCTCCAGATCCTGGAACTTATGACTCTGAGCCATCGTGAGGACAACGCTTACTGGAAAACACAGCAGAAAATATGGTGATAAGTCATCGAGGCTGGCTAATCATCAACAACAACAACAATAAAACAAATCAAACATGATAAGCAATCCACAGCGATGGAAGAATTATTCAGATACAAATCAAAGTTATTTCAGAAGGAGAGGAAATACCGTGGTGTAGAAATACCACATATCAACATGTTAACTAATATAACAAGAGTATAATGTTCTGTTGTATTGTTTGTTTGTTGCAGTTGGAAAGTGTGGTGACAAGGATGTATAAAATGAACCAGCAATATATAAGTACATTTCAATGAATAAATAACATGTCCTGTAACTTTAACTACAGTTCATTGTAGTAGGAAAAGTACAAGATGTTGACTTAAATAGATTCAGTTATATTTGTCATAGGCACAATAGCTACAGCGTGGTCGTTGACAATGAAAATATATAGTCTTAAAATGCAACACAAAAGTAAAAGAGAAAATGAATCAAGTAAGTTGCAGGACTAACACAAATATGTAAGAGCATGTACAAATAAATACGGTTCATTGTCGCGGCCTTAAGACAAATTAAGTAACGTTAGAACAATACATGACATAATATGTCTGTTGTGACACGAAGAGAAAACCCTGAAATACCAACCATTTACCACCAAACTGGACTTAAACTCATTGTATTTAATGTACATTACTTTCCAAACACTGACCCTTTAGCTGACATGCTAATGTAACGGAAAGCAACATCAAAAAGGTAAATAAAGTGTCTAAAAAGCCTGAAACTCGCTGTGTTTTGTATATTGTTTACAACGGATGTTCCAACGGATAGCTAAACTATGATTTAATGACAGAGACACACAACGTAATGCTACAATAGTATAATCGACTGTTTAACCAACTTGTTATACCAATGTTTAAGGAAAATGAGCTATTTATTGTTCAAATAAAGCATAAAACTTACCGTTTGTTTATGAGATTCAAACTAACAGTGAGCGCGCCTCTTCTGCTGATTCTTCTTCGTTGGTTATTGGGCGGAAATACAGCAGCTTTTAACGTGCACGTGCACAGCGCCCTCTGCGGTACAACAGGAGTTATTAAATACTCAATGAAAACAGGTGGGAGAAGTACTCAGATCTTGTTCTTCAGTAAAAGTACAGTACAAGTACTCAGGTCTTGTACTTGAGTAAAAGTACAGTACAAGTACTCAGGTCTTGTACTTGAGCAAAAGTAGAAGTACTCAGATCTTGTACTTGAGCAAAAGTAGAAGTACTCAGATCTTGTACTTGAGTAAAAGTAGGCTACTCAGATCTTGTACTTGAGTAAAAGTACAAGTACTCAGATATTGTACTTGAGTAAAAATAGAAGTCCAGAGTGTAGGAATAGTCTGTTACAGTAAAAGTCTTGCATTCAAAATGTTCCTCAAGTAAAAGTAGGAAAGTATTATCATCTAAATATAGTGAAAGTAAAAGTAGTCATTGTGCAGATTGGTCCATTTCAGAATAATATGATATGTTTTATAATGATTGATCATGAAAGTGTTCTCAAAGCTGGTAAAGGTGCAGCTAGTTTGAATGACTTTGTATACTGCAGCTTGTGAATTTACTCCAGGTGGAACTAAAGTCTGATTTAACACTTGATTATATTTCACATCATTAATCCACATCTGTAAAGTAACTAAAGGTATTAAATACATGCAGTGGAGTAAAAGTACACCATTGACCTCTGAATTGAAGTGGAGTCGAAGTACAATGTAGTTAAAGTACCTCAAAAAGTAAATCTACTTAGTTATCACTGCTTTTAAAAAAGGTGCCATAATTTAACAGTCAGTCTATTTTCAGCACAAAACCTGGGGAGGATCAAGAGGAGCTTTATACCTGAATGATTTCACATTCAATGTCATCTTGTTTACACATCATAGAGGTATAAAAGTGAATAGCTTCCGTCCGCCTGGTTCAAACCATATACAGTTTATGGTTCACACATCTGCCTTAATCAGCTATAAGAAGACACAACAGCCAGGGTGTTTGCAAAAAGATACGTGAAAGAAAATTGAAATCTCAAGAATTGTCAGACATCAAATTGTATCTGCATGTTTATTACAGTTAACACAAGAGAAATAGATTATGGATTAGATTAACGTAAATCTAAACAAATGAACAGAACTCAACATATGGAGCCACTATTCAAAGTCTTATATCTTTTCAGACCAAGGTATATTTGAGGATGTGAAACTACAAACCTGAACCAATTTTCACAACGCTTTTAACTCTTAGAGCACAAAAATCTATGTAATTTCCAGAAACAAAATGTCACAGCAAACGTTATCTGCAGTTATCTAAACACAATGCAGCAAGAGGAATCACTTTAAAATTGTTTATTTAACTGCAAGCCTAAACAAACGGTTCAGTACAAATTTGAAATATGTAGTAATTTCTTTAAGATTCGTACATTTTGAGGGTGTGAAATGTCTTCAACGCTGAGAGCACAAGACTGGACTGTTGGGATATTTCTAAGATGGCATCTCACTCCTTGTTCTTCTGCTTGTCCATCTTCTCCTGGTCTTTGCGCCTCTGCCGGCCGAGCTGTCTGAAGAACAGTCTCTTGGGGTTCAGGCCGTACGCCTTCAGTCTCTGTTGGCTGAACTCTCGTCCTCCGATCCTCACCCCGGCTAATCCTCCCGATGAGGGGCGCCGTCCTGCGGAGGATTTCAGCTTCGCCTTCGGCCATTTTGTCCTCTCAGTCCTGTTCTTCACCGCCACAGGTTTCTGTGCAGCGGCGACCTCACTCTCCTCGTCCTGCTTCATCTTTTTCTTGGGGATCAGAAGCTCCTCCTCTTCTTCGTTGTGGTCTCCTGCTTCTTTGAGAGTTACAAGAGTCTCCTCGGTGGAGTCCATGATGGAGGTGGAGTCAGCATCCTCCGTTTCTCCATTTTGGTTCTTCAGATGATCCGCTCTCTTCTTCCCGACCTTGTTTTTAGCGTCCTTCAGCTCTTTAGCGTCCCTGTAGATCAAATGAAGAGACATATTGTTAGATAGTGCTCCAACTTGTGGTTCATTTCTAGTCTTTTAATTTTAAATGTACAATGACATGTCTTTTGATACATCTTGCAACGCAAAAAAAATCCCAAATTGGGATCAATAAAGTACTTCTTATCTTATTCATAATACAAAAAGCCAGAAATAAAAAAAGCCAGAAATAAGTCAACATTTTAGCACTTCCTGTTGCCTTGTCTGGAAGTCAGAGTTATTCTGAAATAAGGTCTGTGGTTAACACAAACTGAAGAGATCTTAACGTCTTGTTCTACGACAGAATACATCAGTAAATACCCCACTGGTGAATAAAAAAAAAAAAACTACGGTTGCTAACTAGTGTCTGAATGAGACGACTAAACGCCATCACGCCCAACATTAGCCGCCTTTAGCTTAGCGGTGGTGACATGAAGTCGTGTGACCGTGCTGTAGTTCCTTTATAGCCCAACATTAGCCACCTTTAGCTTAGCGGTGGTGACATGAAGTCATGTGACCGTGCTGTAGTTCCTTTATAGCCCAACATTAGCCACCTTCAGCTTAGCGGTGGTGATGTGAAGTCATGTGACCGTGCTGTAGTTCCTTTATAGCCCAACATTAGCCACCTTTAGCTTAGCGGTGGTGACGTGAAGTCATGTGACCGTGCTGTAGTTCCTTTATAGCCCAACATTAGCCACCTTTAGCTTAGCGGTGGTGACGTGAAGTCATGTGACCGTGCTGTAGTTCCTTTATAGCCCAACATTAGCCACCTTTAGCTTAGCGGTGGTGACGTGAAGTCATGTGACCGTGCTGTAGTTCCTTTATAGCCCAACATTAGCCGCCTTTAGCTTAGCGGTGGTGACATGAAGTCATGTGACCGTGCTGTAGTTCCTTTATAGCCTATCATTAGCCACCTTTAGCTTAGCGGTGGTGACGTGAAGTCATGTGACCGTGCTGTAGTTCCTTTATAGCCCAACATAAGCCACCTTTAGCTTAGTGGTGGTGACGTGAAGTCATGTGACCGTGCTGTAGTTCCTTTATAGCCTATCATTAGCCACCTTTAGCTTAGCGGTGGTGACGTGAAGTCATGTGACCGTGCTGTAGTTCCTTTATAGCCCAACATTAGCTTCTAACTTCAGAAATCATGAAGTGGTGTTAACATGGAGATTATCCTGCTGAACTAAACGTGTAAGTATCATAAATGTTTGTTTGACACAGAGATTATTTTCTCCAAAAATGTCCTCTCCATGTTGAAGGGACCAGGGAGATGCTAACTTCCAGTCGGCCATCAAATCTACGTCACAGTTGTAATATAAAATACACTTACTCAGAATAGACGGAGCTCAGGATTTCTTTCTTCCTCTTCACATTCTTGGCCTTGATCTTATAGTTATATAAATCACTCGACTCCTCCTTGTCAGACCTAATACAACAAAGAGAGAATGAGTAAAGGGCCTCATCTGAGACAACAGAACATGTGTGAATTCAAAATGAACAGCGGTCATACCTGAACATGCACGTCTTCTTCAGAGAGGCCCACTGGTTCAGCTCCGTATCGTCAGCATGTAGAATCTGAGGGAGGAAACGGAGACTTTGAGACACATTTTTTTGAAACCCTTGTCTAGACTCCTGTAGAGTTTTGAGATGTGCTGCTGTTTGGTCTGCTCAGCGAGAAGATTAAGCGCAGATCATTCCCTGGTCAGAGCTGCTCCCGGAGGAACACAATACCAGATCAGTCACTTTTAACTCATCATAGCAGCGCCTTCAACCAGCAGACAGTGAGAAGTTATTATATCAAGTGTTTTCATTCACCTCTTTTCAACGAAAGCTGTTCCAGGGTTTGAATCAGTTGCTCCATCGCAAACCATTTGTAGTTTCCATAGTAGTTAAACTTAAGTATTGAGCTTATTGGCTCCAATTCTTGCTATCGATTAGTCAGAATTGCTTCGATGGCTACTGTGGTGGAAATTCCACATTTTAAATCACCTTCTGGTAAGAAATGAACAAATAAAAGTTTAAACCAAAGTCTATTTCCAGCTGGAAGGACAGATAACCTGCACCACTGATGTAGTACAAGGATCTGACCCCATTACAACAGAAACACAAGCCCTTTATACCGGACAAGACAAAGGTCTCAGCTAGAATTTACATTACAGGCTATTGAAATGTTGGCCTGATGGGCGAAACTTGCATACATGCTAATTACCAACCTAACATCCATATGATGATTGACTGACAATGGTCAAGGCGACACCCGTCTGTCTGAGAACATTTAGTAGGTGTGAATTTAAACTGTGAGAAAATCAACCACAGATATACCTATATATTGATATAGCTACAAGAGAAACCTCACATCATGTAATCCTTTATGGCGCTGTGTTGCTAAACATTTTTGGAAACTGCATTGAGTTGTTTCACAACAAAACTTATTTCAGTGGAGAAGGGGGTAATGATGTTTAAACTCCAATTGGCTGATAAGAAGCAGAGACCAAAATATGTAATTTGTTCTCTAGGGTTACTAATAGGAAGAAGAAAAAGCAAAAGGTCATTTATTTGTAGTGCTGATGTTCTCACCTCCTCCGTGCTCAGGCCGAAGTCGTTGGGCAGCACCTGTCTGTAGCGGAACCTGCAGGGGATGTCGTCGATGATGTCCTCGTAGTCCAGCTTATAGTATTCATCCAGGTACTGCTCGAAGCTCTTAGACTCTGAAACACAGGATGGTTCGTTTTGAAGGTCACCCATTATACTGTTTTTCATCAATATATCACAGGTATATACAGAGCCTGTCTCTGATTGGCTGAAACACCAAACAGATCATTGCAGCATTACCCATAATCCCCTCTGTTTCAGCCCTGTTTCCAAAGTGCTGATTCTCTGTCTGTTACTTTAGATGCAAATAAGGAGCCCCTCCCCACGCCCCTCTGAGAGATATTTGGTTACAAAGAACACAATGGTGCTCTAGGAGGAGATCCAGGTGATAAGGGGGGAGGGGGGGGGGTTACCTTGGTTGCTGATTGGCTAATGGTTACACAAGACAAAACATCGT